AACTGAGAGCTCATGTGGCTCCTGGGGACCCCAGGTGCAGAAAAGTCACACTTCAGTGAGGACACTGCTTGGCCAAGTTTGCTACAGCTAGTAGAGTATTGTCCTAACTGGTCTGTCCCAGAACCTGCCATTCAAGACTAGAGAAGCAGCACCTCCTGTTGGTCTCAGAGCCCAGACCCTCAGCCCCTCAGACAACACCCAGCTCTCCTGGAAGGACATCCTCACTTGGAGATGGATCCCTGTAATGTCACTACCCAGGACAGAGGAATGAGGAGATCGCCTGCATAGTGTGTGGGGCTGAGATACTAACTGTACCCAGGTTGCTAATGTCCTTCTGCTCAATATGGGTGTAGGGCACAGTCCTATGGCACCAGTTTTCAGGATTGTCTGATATTTGATGTTGCTTCTACCAAGTGTTTATTGTCTTTCCAGCTTAGGACAACTTTGTTAGTTATGGTTTTCATGGCATCAGGGCCTCTATGTGATAGTTCATTGTTAGTGTGCATGTGTGTGTGTGTGTGTGTGTGTTTCTCCAGTTTATTTTTCCATATACCAATTATTACTAATGTTGTTGTTGTTGTTGTTGTTGTTTTGCTGGGCCTACCAAAACAGTGAATGAAAAACTGGGAGGAGAGCCACTCTGACCAGGATGCTGTCTCCATGGAAATTCTCTGTACATGAAAGTCATTTTAATACAGATAAGTCATCCTCAGAGACCCTGAATGACCTGGGGTTTTTGTCCCACTTCCCCATCTGCCTGTGTCACTGTGGAAAGCACTGTTGTACCAGATCACACAGTAGTAATCGGCCTCATCCTCAGGCTGTAGCCCCGAGATAAGCAGGAGCCCTGCATTGGCCGAGGCATCTTTGCCTCCAGAGAAGTGGCTGGGGACCCCAGAGCCCTGGTGTTTACTTGAGTCTGAGTAGTAGGACAGGAGATACCGGGGAGGGCTCCCTAGCTTCTGCTGAAACCAGTTTATGGTATAGCTGCCAACACCGATGTCATTTCTCAACGTGCAGAGGAGTCTTACAGATGTTCCCGGGGATGCAGACACGAAGGGTGGCTGAGTCAGCACGGGCTGGGAGAGGGAACCTGCAAACACAGACACACATGGTGATGGGCAGGGGCCAGGGGAAAAGCTGGGGATCTAAGCCAGAGGGGCTGACTCAGGCTGGGGGCTTCCCCGGGTCTCGGAGCCCTGTCCCTACCTGTGCAGTGAGAGAGGAGCACGAGGAGGAGAGGGGCCCAGGCCATGGTGGACACAGCCCTGCTGAG